TGAGCGATTGTCACATTGAGTGCAATGAAAATCAAGTGCCGATTGAAGTGTTGATTAAATTGAGTTTCAATGGACTGATGGATACAAATGTGAAAACACTTTGCGATAAAACGCGTGAATTGACTGTTAATACGGAAAATATGACTAAAATTAATAATGGATTTAAATTTGTTGGCAAAAAGATTAAAGTAATTGATTTCGTATACCTATTGACCAGATTTATACACAGAAATTATGTTAATAATTATAATAGTGTTATGAAACAATTGTTATTATACACCGGGGTGATTTTTTTCATGGTTAATTGTTTCAGCAAAGATATGGCAAAAATTGATGGTTGTGTCGATTTTAACGTAACAACAAATCAAACATGTATTCAAATTGAGGACGAAAAAAGTATCCTGGCCCAACTGCAAGCTTTATTATATTTTTCTTCAATGATAGTCCTATGGATTCAAATTACAAACATTTGCAACAGTTTTAGCGCTGATATGAAAATAGTTCTCTCGGAAAATAATAACAGTGAGTGACTATAATATTATTTATTGTCCCTGCTAAAGTTACTAGTAGTTATTATAAAAAGCTAATATAACTTATTTAATTATTGCATTTATAAAATTATTTTATAAATACTAAATATACTGCACATTTTGACTGGTATACTTAACCGATAACTTTTTGTATTTAATTAAATTTTTATTCATCTATAAATTTCAGATTGGTACAATTCACATTTATACTTCTGGGCTAAATTCATATGCGATTCCCTACTTATTATAATAAATGCACTAATATTTGCATTTATATTACAATATTATATTGATATTCTAAGAGAAACGCACCTGATATACAAGTCATTATACATTATTATAATGTCATTCCTGTGCACACAAGCCTTCGCTTCAATACTGGGTATCCTATTATGTAATTATCAAAATCTAGCACTTTTTGCCGCTATATTTCTATCGACAGGCTTTATAACGGGAAATAATTACGTTATATTAATTAAGGACCTGCCACCTATTTTTGAAATCATGACTGATTTTAATTATTATAAATATTTTTATAACTCTATGTTAGTAATAATATACAGCTATAACCGATGCCCACGTGATTACCAGAATAAGGTGTTAATTGAGTTTGGTCTAGATAATGAGCCTGAGCAGTTATATGACACTTATGCTAAGTGGTATATTTATTTATATTTATACTTTTTATTGTGCGAATACATTTCATTTATTGCTAAAACAACTAATTTCTCAATGAGTTTGAGAATGTGTTGGAAAAACAATGAGATTAATGACTATAATGTGGAGACAATAGACATGAATAATGCAACTGATTTTAATGTTGACAATATTGTTACCGATATGCAAAATAGTGAAATATTTATTGGGTGGACTAATTTATCATTTTTCATCAAAACAATCATGTTTAATACGGCAGCAAAAATTGTACTAGATAATGTTACCGGTTATGCAATGACTAATACATTGAACGCATTGATGGGACCGTCGGGTGCGGGAAAGACAACACTATTAAAGTGTTTGAACGGACAAAATAATAGGGGTTTAAGTCACGAAACAAATATTTATATCACTCGTAACAAAACAGTGAAATCATGTTTTATAAGATCAGATGTTTCCGAACAGTTATTATCGGGACTGACTGTACGACAGACACTGTTATACGCGTCGAGACTCAAGAACTCGCGGATAACGAGTCAATTAAATCACATGAAAATTGTTTGTGATTTGATGTCAGAACTGGTGATCAGCGATACGGCAGACAATAGGGTCGAGACGTGTAGTGGAGGCGAACAAAAACGTATAGTAATTGCCTGTGAATTGACGTCTCATATAAAGCCTAATATGTTATGTATTGACGAACCGACGAGTGGTTTGGATAGCAATGCCGCCGAAGTGGTCAGTTATCTAAATATTTATGTTTAATTATAATTAAAATAATTTTATACATTAATAATCATAAAATTTTATTATATTTTCAGGTAATAAATTGCTTAAAATTGTTGTCCAGAATACATGAGATGACAATCATTGCGTCCATTCATCAGCCAAACAATGATTTGTTGCATATGTTTGACAACATCTATGTGTTGGCCAAAGGAGGGGTTTGTCTGTATTCAGGAGTCGCTCACCATTTGCGACAACATCTCAAAGACAACGGCATTGAATGCAATGAAAAACAAGTGCCGATTGAAGTGCTATTAAAACTCTCCTCAAAAGAGATATCAAATAAAAACGATAACAATATTGAAGAGAAATCTGGTATTTATAACAATGGCGTAAATTGCGATCAAATACTAGTGTCAAACATGCGGCCAGTATTTGGTTCGTTGAGTATATCAAAGAGATTTAGTTTTGTGGACTTGTATTACCTGTTGTCCCGTTCCCTAACCCATACATTCCGGTGCCAATGGGTGTCACTATTACTGCAATTTATATGCTTTCAAATGTTGGGTATTGTAATGCTATACGGTTTCAGTGCCGATATAATACTGCCCGACGGGTGCGTTGAGCTCGAGTTCGGGGCCGAGTGTTACCAAACGGAGGCCGAGATTAGGGACGAGATATTAATCAAACAAAACATCAAATATAACTGTTGTTTACTCCTTGCGGTGCCGTTTGTGGTGTTGATCGTAATGTCGGTCACTTTTGGTAGCAATTTTCGTGTATTCCGGAGTCAACAGCAAAATGGTATTTAAATACAACATTGTATTATGTTTTTTATATTTATGGTAAAACATTGGCATTTATTATTTTTTACATAGGTTGGTACAGCACAGGCACATACCTTTGGTGCCGTACGATCGTAGACCTGATCCCAATCTTTATAGCTTTACCCGTGTTTTTGTGGATTACCAACCGATACAATACAATCACTTTCTATGTGTTTACGTTTGCCGTTATTTTACTGGTCATTATATGTACGCAAAGTGCGGCTCAATTGGCGTCCCTGTTGTTTATGAATGACACTAAAGTAGCACTAATTGTCGCTATACTGATACATGCTACAATATTTTTTATGAGCAATAGTCTGATCCCGGTGAAAGAGCTACATTATATTATGCAAGAATTAAGTCACCTGTCCTACATTCGCCACGCGTACGAATGCATAATTATCATGTTGTATGGCTTTGACAGGTGTCAGGGTAATAAAATATCGACCGTATTGTACGCCATGGAAATTGACGATGATCTGTTTTGGCCAAATATTGTCCGATTGGTCAGTGTTTGCGTTTTGCTAAAAATGTTGGCATTTATGTGTATTATTGTTAAAACACATAAATTTCAACGTAAAGCTGTTATTATGAATAATGAAAATGACATTAAATTCAATAAATTTAAACAGTATAGCCAAATATTTTAATGTTAAGTAAGTTTAACAAGTTTTTAATTTAGGTATTTTGTTTATTAAATAAATAGTTTAATGATAATTATCAAACTTTTAATACAATGTATTAAATATTATACATGTTATTAATATTAATTATTTAAAGAATATCAATCAAGGTAATCTCTGACGTAAGGTATAATAATTTTTAATTTAATTCTTGTATTTTAATTAATAATCATAAAATGTTTCAAACTTATCAACTGAACTTTAAATTGTATTATATTAATAAATTATCAATAATACTATTTAATAAAGTAATTGATTTTTATGATTATGTATCTTTAAAAGGTTTTTAAACATTTTCATATTATTTTTATAAAAAATTAATTTTTTATTAGTATTTATAATTATTGATATGTTATATGCACTAAACAGTTTTAATTAGTAAAGGTCGTTTATCAATCATTAATGTAGGATAGTGCATTAACATTTTATGACCTTATTCAAGGGCAAATTTAATTACATAATAAAATATTGGTAGAATATACATCCAGTTTGGATTTCCCCTATTTTGTATATATCAATGTAAAACTTTATTGCATGCACTGTAATGCCAACAAAATTTTTACCCACATTTCTATGAATTATATTTGAATGTGTTAAATTATTTAGGTTATGCAGTTAGAGTAAAACTACTTTTAAATTTAAAAAATGGCATTTTTGGCAAAGAGTAAAATCAATTGAACAAACGATATACTGGTGCTAAAAATGAGAGGCCCATGTTACATTTTTTATTACTCAAATGGCCTTTAGGCTGATATTGGCTGATAAATCCAAATATAACCTTAATGTTCACTTTATGTGATGAGTTTAGTTGTACTTTCAGGAAAGTTTGTTTTATCGTAAAATCTGATCATCAGTAGTGCAATAGATATTTTATCATTTAAAAAATTCTACATGATTTTTTAGTTAATATGTTATAAGTTATTACATGATAATTACGGTAGTATCTTATGTAATAATATTAATTGTTCTGTAAAATTTATATTGAATATTAATGTTTTATTTTAAATAATAATGTTTATAAAAATAAATAATTAAATATATTATGGTGTAATATTGTTACAACATTAAATAAAAGTAAAATATTGTTTTTTTAAACAAATGTTTAAAATAAATAAATCGAATATTAAGTTTAATAAAATGATTAAATATATCAATTTTCCACCAAAAATTAATAAAGTTTAAAATATTACATAAATCATAATTTATTCAATTGGGGTAAAGAAATGTTATTTTTATTTAAAAGAATTTTAATAAATAATATAAACAAAAGTGAAAACTTGGTATAATAAATTATTACTACATTTAACTTATTATTTTTTGAATGTATCCAATTGAACCAGGTAAAGTCAGCTTGATATATACAACTACAGTAATGGCGTCAGAAATGGCAATCGCGTGGACAGACCTGAGGGTTAGTGTCGGGTCGGGAGTGTTGGGCGGGAAAGAGAAACGAATATTGTGTGGCATTTGCGGTGCGTTTACGTCGGGATCGTTGAACGCATTGATGGGTTCTTCGGGTTCCGGGAAATCAACGCTTTTAAAGTGTTTGAATGCAAACAATGAATACGTATTGAGTGACGGGTCGGCAGTATATGTGAAAAGTGGTCAACAAATGAGTAAATGTTTTATATATCAGGACCAAAACGAGCGCATAATGACGGGTCTGACTGTAGTCCAGGCGCTCACATATTCATCAAAATTAAAAAATAGTAACAATTGCAGTGTTGAAATGATTGACCACAAGAATAATGTGTCGGTTCTGATGGAGGAGTTGCTAATCAGTGATATCGCAGATAATGTGATAGAGAAGTGCAGTTCCGGACAAATCAAACGCATTTGCATTGCATTGGAGTTGACATCAGTTGTTAAGCCATAAATGTGTCGGTTCTGATGGAGGAGTTGCTAATCAGTGATATCGCAGATAATGTGATAGAGAAGTGCAGTTCCGGACAAATCAAACGCATTTGCATTGCATTGGAGTTGACATCAGTTGTTAAGCCATACCTACTGTTCATCGATGAGCCGACCACTGGTCTCGACACACACTCAGCACTCACTGTATGTTTTCATATAAAGTTTTATTATTTTTGTTTAAATAGTAATTATTTAATTTATTTTTTATTTAATTTTATCATAATAGTTAATCCAATGTCTAAAACAATTATCGCACAATAATAACATGTCAATCATTGCATCCATACATCAACCAAACAATGATATGTTTCATATGTTTGATACGGTGTATGTGTTAGCAAAAGGAGGGGTTTGTCTGTATTCAGGAGTTCCGCAACAATTGAGACAACATCTGAGCGATTGTCACATTGAGTGCAATGAAAATCAAGTGCCGATTGAAGTGTTGATTAAATTGAGTTTCAATGGACTGATGGATACAAACGTGAAAACACTTTGCGATAAAACACGTGAATTGACTGTCAATACGGAAAATATGATACAATTTAATACCGGATTTAAATTTATCAAAAAGAAATTTAAAGCAATTGACTTCATATACCTATTGATGCGATTTATACACAGAAATTACATTAATAATTATGCTACTTTATTGAAACAGCTATTATTATTTACCATCGTCAATTTAGCTGTTATTATGTGTTTTAATAAAAAGGTCGGTTTAGTCGACGGTTGCGTACATATCGGCGGACAGTCTAACCGGACATGGATTGAGATAGAGGAGGACAAAAGCATCTTGTTTCAATGCCAATCATTAATACATTGTTCATATGGTATTCTCCAGTGGATTATAATGTCAAACATTTGTAACAGTTTTGGGGCCGATATGCGTACTGTACTATCAGAAAATAATAACAGTAAGTGCTTAATCTATGTACATTTTAAATAATCAATTTGTTATCTAGTTTAATCATCTTGGTTTAATTAATTTCAAATGCATATTTAATTAGTTTTCATTACATATTTCATGTAAACTTTATTTTAATATATAAATATATACAATTTTAGATTGGTATAATCCCCATCCATATTTCTGGGCTAAATTCATATGCGATTCAATATTTATAATTATAAATGCAGTGATTTATGCGTTTATACTCCAATATTATATCGTTATTCTGGACGAACCGCACATCAAATACAAAGTACTATATCTTATTATTATGACATTTCTGTGCACACAAGCGTTGTCTTCAATACTGGGTATCCTATTATCCAATAATCAAAATCTAGCACTTTTNTGTTGGTAGGATATGATAATTACGTTTTTCCAGTAAATAGTCTAGATCCTATTTTTCAATATTTAACTGACTTCAATATAAACAAGTATTACTATAACTCGATGTTAATACTAATATACGGCTATAACCGATGCCCACGTGATCACCATAGTAAAGTATTGATTGAGTTTGATCTAGATACTGAGCCAGAGCAAATATATCAGACGTATGCTAGGTGGTATATTTATCAATATATTGCGCTGGTTATTATTGAACTATTTTCATACGTAATAAGATTAAATAAATTCTCGATAAATATGTCTAGCTTATATAAAATATTTGTCAAACAAATTAATGAAACTAATGTTAATAATTCCGATACAATTGATATGAAAACTACAGTCAAATGCAATGATATTATTGTTGCGGATAAACAAAATAATACAATATTTATCGCGTGGATTGATTTAGCATATGCTGTCAAAAAATCAGTGTTTAGCAACAAAACAAAAATCATACTAGATCAAATTAGTGGTTGTGTACGTGTAAACACATTGAACGCATTGATGGGACCGTCGGGTGCGGGAAAGACAACACTATTAAAGTGTTTGAACGGACAAAACACGAGTGGATTGAGTGAAAAAACAAGCATTTATTCCATGAATAACCGCAACATTAGGTCCTGTTTTATAAAGTCTGATGTTTGGGAACACCTGTTATCGGGACTGACTGTACGACAGACACTGTTATACGCGTCGAGACTCAAGAACTCACGGATAACGAGTCAATTAAATGACAATAAAATTGTTTGTGATTTGATGTCAGAACTGGTGATCACGCTATGCCGTCTGTTATCCCAGCTCTGCACATCACCTCCGCTTGTTTTTGCATATCATTAACGGACACTTAACTGAAGAGTATATTTCGGATTATACAATAGTATTGACGAACCGACGAGTGGTTTGGACAGCAATGCCGCCGAAGTGGTCAGTCATCGCAATATTTATATTTAATTCAATTATAATACTTTTATACATTAATAATTATAAAATTGTATTATTTTTTAGGTAATAAATTGCTTAAAATTGTTGTCCAGAAAACACGAGATGACAATTATTGCGTCCATTCATCAGCCAAACAATGATTTGTTGCATATGTTTGACAACATCTATGTGTTGGCCAAAGGAGGGGTTTGTCTGTATTCAGGAGTTCCACACCATTTGCGACAACATCTCAAAGACAACGGCATTGAATGCATTGAAAATCATGTGCCGATTGAAGTGCTGTTAAAAATTGCCTCAAAAGAGATATCAAATAAAAACAATAACAATATTGAAGAAAAACCAAACATTAATAACAATGGCGTGAATTGCGATCAGATATTAGTGTCAAACATGCGGCCAGTGTTTGGTTCGCTGAGTATATCAAAGAGATTCAGTTTTGCGGACATGTATTACCTGTTGTGCCGATCGCTGACCCATACATTCCGGTGCCAATGGGTATCACTGTTGGTACAATTTGCCATGATGCAAACGGCCGCTTTGCTTATGGTATATAATTCCAGTTCGGATATGACTGAGCCCGACGGGTGCGTTGAGTTGGGCGCCGGGTTTGACTCCGTACAGACCATTGACCTGATCCGTAACGAAGCGTTGATCAAGCTCAATATTAAATACAATATTTGTTTATTAATGTCTGTGTCGTATATTGTGGTGATCGTAATGTCGGCAACATTTGGCACCGATTTTCGTGTATTCCGGTGTCAACAACAAAACGGTATAACATTTATTACTACAATATTGTGAATGCATGATGATTAAATAATTATTTTATGTTTTACCATAGGCTGGTACAGCACCGGTGTGTACCTCTGGTGCCGCACAATTGTAGACCTAATACCAATTTTTATAGCATTACCCGTGTTTTGTTGGATCACAAACCTATACAAAACGATCACATTCTATGCGTTTTCGTTTGCACTCAATTTACTGGTTGTAATGTGCAGTCAAAGTGTGGCCCAATTATCGGCCCTAATGTTTATAAATGAACGTAAAGTTGCCCTGAGTTTAGCCATACTGTGCCAATCGATGATTATACTATTGGGCAACAATCTCATCCCGGTCAAAGAGTTGCATTACACGTTACAATGGTTGAGTAGTTTGTCCTATTGTAGAGTGTCGTACGAGTGCATAATGATCATGATATATGGCTTCGACCGGTGTCAGGGTGATAATGTGTCTACCGTACTGTACGTTCTCGGTATTGACGATGATCAGTTTTGGCCAAATATATTCCAATTGGTCTATATCTATGTTTTGCTCAAATTGTTGGTTTTTGTGTGCATTTTTGCTAAAATGAATCAATTTCACCGAACGGACAGCAACACCGCAAGTGATGATATTAAATTAGTAAATGTTCACAAAAATAATACAGATTTTACTGTATTTTGAACTTTTTTGTATTTTCTTACTTTTTAGTAATTAAATGTTATAATTGAACAAGTATGTTTACTTTTTTATATATTTTCATTTCATTTATCGTATTTAATGTATAATCAAATGTTCAAAACATTTAAAATAAAACACAATAATTATTAAACAGATATTTATTAATTATTTTATTCACATTTTGTTTTGTGGCAAAAATAATTAGTGGTAATTGTTATAACGTCATATTTACGTATCTAGTTACGAACACAATAATATTTGTGGTAAAAATGGAACATTGAAAATAGCCAATATTTACGTTTGTGACGTGAGCCTAGTTTTATACAAAACCTGTTAAGTACGTATTATAAGAGGTTGTCAAAAATAAATTAATTTTAAAATTCAATTACTCAATACTTGTTGGGGTTAGAACAACCCTGACCACATGAATCAACTTGATAATTAAGTGACAATTGTATGACGAAGAGAGCATTCAAATCGGTTAAACTTTTTGGGTCCAAAATGAGCTCAAAACTAAAGTTTTTAACGAATTTTGAAAAACTTGGGCTAAAAAGTGTTTTTAAAAAATGTGGGACAAACGTGTTAGAGGGATATTTGTTCGCCACATTAACAAATGTTTATTCTTGCTTATATGAAATGTATCGGATTAAAAAACCATTTTTTAATTAATTTTGGTCACGGGAAGCCCGTGTTTATTTATTAATTTCCTCCCCACATTCCGAATGGGTGGAATACCTTTAGTAATCTTCTTACTAAAGTTTCAAGTTGATAGGTATGACAATGATGGGGCTTAAAGTTTGAGCATTGTTTGAATGTTACTTTCGTTTATTTAATAGTAATGAGCACAATTACAACATGAACGCGTGGTCCGATCATAACCTAACCTAAGCATACCTAACTGCAACATAATGAAATATTTTATACAAATATATAATAGTACTAACACAGTAATATCAATCTCGGTCTTTGTCTCGGTCTCTGGCTCAGTCTTTGACTCGGTCTTTGGGTCTCGGTCTTTGGTCTGCGGTTTATTGTCCTCGGTCTATTGTCCGCGGTTTTTGTTTCTCCGTCTATCTTGCGGTTTTGTCTCGCTGTCATTGTATTGCGGTCACTGTCTTTGTCGTGATCTTTGTCCCGCGGTTTCTGCCTCAGGCTCGGTCTTTGGTCCGCGGTCTTTTTCCCGCGGTCTCTGTCTCGGCATCTGCCTGCTGTCTTTGGTCCGCGGTCTTTGGTTTGCGGTTAATTTTCGGCGGTTAATTGTCCGCGGTCTTTATCTAGCGGTCACGGTGCGGCGGTGTCTATACCTCAAAATCTCAGGCTAACGGTCTGCCATGCGGGCTTTATCTCGCGGTATCTCTGAATCGCAATCTCTGCCTTGCGGTCTGGATTTCAAACTGGTTCGCGATCTAAACTGAGCTGGCTCACGGCACTAACTCGCAGTCTTTATCCCACGGTTTTTATCCCCCGTCTTAATCGTTATTATTCTTCCGTATCTGTTTTACAGTTTTTGTGTCGCGGTCAGATTCGCTATCCGTGCTGCGGTTTTCGTGTCGCGATCTGTCCAGCGGTCGTTGTGTCGCGGTTTGGCCCCCGGTCTGGGTCTCGGTCTGTTCAACGGTTTTTATATCGCGGTCAGATCCGCGGTCTGTCCTGCGGTTTTCGCGTCGCGGTCTGTACAGCGGTCGTTGTGTCGCGGTCTGGCTTCCGATCTCGCTCGCGGTCTGTCCAGCTGTTTTTATATCGCGGTCAGATATGCAGTCTGTCCTGCGGTCTTCGTGTCGCGGTCAGTCACGCGGCATCCGTAGGGCGGTCTGTGTCGCGGTCTGTCTCTTTGTTTTTATGTCGCGGTCTTCCCGCGGCCTTTGTCTCGGGTTTCAGGCTAGCGATCTCTTGCTCCAGGTGACTTGCAGTCTGTATCCCGGTCTTTGTCGCGCGGCCTCGAAGTCTCTGCTACGCGTTTTGCCGTCTGCCTTGCGGTCACGGTCTTTTGCGCTTGCTCGATCACGCGTTTGAACGTACTCGGACTGTTGTTAAGGCCAAAGGGCAGGACTAACCAATAATAATGTCCTGAATGAGTGACAAATGCTGTCTTCGAGATCTCGGCCGGCTCGACCTCGACGTGCCAATAGCCCCACGCGAGGTCTAGTTTACTAATAAACCAAGCGTTGTATTTGTCTCTGTAAATCACGGTTCCGCGGTCACTGTGTCGCGGTTTTTATTGCAGTCATTGCCTCGCGATCACGGGGCGGCGGTCTCTTAATCTCAAAATAACAGGTTCGTCGTTTTTTAGATGACCGCGATGTCCGCCACATCATAATTATCCCGTAGAATCTCGAGGCCAACGGCCTCGGTGAGAAGGACAAACGCCCGTGGCCTCCGCCCTGCATCGGTCGACAACCCGAAGCTTCGCTGGTCACCCTACTGGCACAAGTTGTCGGCGCTTACAATCGGGCGCTACACTCGGCCACTGGTTTCATCCTTCGCTTAATTAACTTAAGTACTATCCAAAACGTATTATTTTTGTATCACTCTCACACATGCTCTTACTGTGCAGTTGTGCTAAACTTTTAACACAATAAAAGTGATTTTAAATAAGTCTGTCCCCGTATTCTTCGCGCTTCGCCCGCCAACCGCTCGATCACTGCTATTATAAATGCATTTATTGTATTCTAAAAACAAAACTTTAATTTAAGAGTTAATTCAATGCCTGAAAACATTGTCCCGTAATCACAAAATGTCAATCATTGCATCCATACATCAGCCAAACAATGATTTATTTCATATGTTTGATACGCTGTATGTGTTAGCAAAAGGAGGGGTTTGTCTGTATTCAGGAGTTTCCCACCGATTAAGACAACATCTGAGCGATTGTCACATTGAGTGCAATGAAAATCAAGTGCCGATTGAAGTGTTGATTAAATTGAGTTTCAATGGACTGATGGATACAAATGTAAAAACACTTTGCGATAAAACACGTGAATTGACTGTCAATACGGAAAATATGACTAAAATTAATACCGGATTTAAATTTATCGAAAAGAAATTTAAAGCAATTGACTTCATATACCTATTGATGAGATTTATACACAGAAATTATGTTAATAATTATGCCATTTTATTGAAACAGCTATTATTATTCACCATCGTCAATTTAGCTGTTATTATGTGTTTTAACAAAAAGGTCGGTTTAGTCGACGGTTGCGTACATATCGGCGGACAATCTAACCGGACATGGATTGAGATAGAGGAGGACAAAAGCATCTTGTTCCAATGCCAATCATTAATACATTGTTCGTATGGTATTTTCCAGTGGATTATAATGTCAAACATTTGTAACAGTTTTGGGGCCGATATGCGTACTGTACTATCGGAAAATAATAACAGTGAGTGCTTGACCTATGTACATTTTTAATAATCAATTTGTCATCTAGTTTAATCATCTTGGTTTAATTAATTTCAAATGCATATTTAATTAGTTTTCATTACATATTTCATGTAAACTTTATTTTAATATATAAATATATACAATTTTAGATTGGTACAATCCCCATCCATATTTCTGGGCTAAATTTATATGCGATTCAATATTTATAATTATAAATGCAGTGATTTATGCGTTTATACTCCAATATTATATCGTTATTCTGGACGAACCGCACATCAAATACAAAGTACTATATCTTATTATTATGACATTTCTGTGCACACAAGCGTTGTCTTCAATACTGGGTATCCTATTATCCAATAATCAAAATCTAGCACTTTTTATAACAGTGTTAATAACAGTTGTGTTGGTAGGATATGATAATTACGTTTTTCCAGTAAATAGTCTAGATCCTATTTTTCAATATTTAACTGACTTCAATATAAACAAGTATTACTATAACTCGATGTTAATACTAATATACGGCTATAATAGATGCCCACGTGATCACCATAGTAAAGTGTTAATTGAGTTTGATCTAGATACTGAGCCAGAGCAAATATACCAGACGTATGCTAGGTGGTATATTTATCAATATATTGCGCTGGTTATTATTGAACTAATCTCATACATAATAAGATTAAATAAATTCTCAATAAATATGTCTAGTTTATATAAAATATTTGTCAAACAAATTAATGAAACTAATGTTAATAATTCCGATATAATTAATATGAATACTTCAGTCAAATGCAATGATATTACTGTTGCTGATAAACAAAATAATGCAATATTTATTGCATGGATTGATGTAACGTATTCTGTCAAAAAATCA